GAATATGCCTCCCACATTTTTGCGCTTGAGAATTCACGAGGCCGTCAGCGCCTTGAAATCACGCAAAATTCGGTGATCCGCACCTGTCTGGGGATGCGTGTGTCGACCCCACTCAACGTATTGTTTGCAGAGGCCCGGGAGCCTCCTTTGAAGCTCAGGTTTCAATACTTGGCTAGTAAATATATGTGCAAGGTCCTTTCTATTGAAGACCATCCGGTGGTTGTAAAGCTAGAGAACCTCCTTATACTTGCCGACTCTCCTGCAAGGAGATTATACCTCGCTCACAACTTTTATCTTATCCAAATCTATCGCCAAATATTCCAATACAAACAGACCCTACACAAAACTGTAATTCTTCCTGTATTCAGCTATACTTACTCCTCGATTTTCGTTGCCCCGGAAGTGATCTACCCGAAGGAGAACCTGGTTGCCCTGCTCGAGGGTTCTCCTAAGGAACGTGCTCAGGCGATTTTTATGAGAGTTTTTCAAGATGAAATTGGGCAATCGGTTGTCTTTTATACCGATGGCTCCAAAATTGAAGAAATATCGACAGTAGGGGCGGCGTGCTACTCCCCTCAGTTAAACCTCGAACTAATGGACAGGCTTCCGCAGCACGCCTCTGTTTTTTCCGCAGAAGCATGGGCCATATACAATGTTATATTATCCTTAAAAGCTTTCTCAGTAAATGACGCGGTTATTGTTACAGACTCGCTGAGCACTTTGCAAGCCCTGCAGAGTACAGGTTCTTATAAAAATAATTACCTTATCCCCCTTATTAAAGCCACGCTGGAGGCAGCGCAGAAGGACGGAATCCGCGTCCGTTTTATCTGGGTGCCCTCCCACAAGGGCATCCTGGGTAACGAGCGAGTAGACGAACTAGCTAAGAAAGCTACTAGAGAGGGTAGGACGACTAATTTCAAAACTCCTCTCTCCGATCTTTTCTCGATCCTTCGGTCCAAGCTGATTGCTAACTTTGACGCGTACATCGAATACTGGGCCAGTCTCAAGGGAGTTCAATACTTCCGAAAAATTTATTCTAAAATGAAGAGACTTTGGTTTCACCGCTCCACTTTGGATCGGCACTCTATTGTTACGATGTCTCGGGTACGTGCTAACCACTATAATTTAAATTCTAGCCTGCATAGGAAAAACATTATAGAAAATCCCTCTTGCTCTTGTGGTAATACAAATCAAGATATAAATCATATTATATTTGAATGCCCTGAGACTCTTGAATACGCACTACCGCTCAAAAGACATATCGCAAAAACGAATATTTTCGCATATTACAGACGAGATATTTTTGATATACTTAAGAATCCCACAGGAATGCTATGTAAACTTTTGTCGGCATTTTGCAAAGCATGCAAAATTCTTATATAATCTATGGTATTAGCATGAACTCGCTTAAACTGCGCAGGCGCGTGCTCCAATCCTACCCCGCATACCCCCCCCCTCCCCAGCTTGACTCCACGCGTCCGTTTCATACTCACACTTGTATCTTACTCGTTTAGCACAATCAAGTGTGCTGCCAAATGCTCACTTGGTTCCCTATCTTGTCAGTCTCTCGTTTGAGTCTAAGTACCTCAGCCAACAAGATTTTGGCCGGATTACCCCCGATCGGGAGCAGGCGCCAATAAAAGAAAAGAAGAAGAAGGGAGTCGGGACTGTCTGGGACTGTCTGCTGAACGTGGCGGGTGGCCATTGATATCCGATGCTGTTTATTATTGGAGTTGGATTTGAAGCCGGAAAGACAAGTAAATAAATAAAGATTGATACTTCACGTGCACAAGTCACGCAAACAAAGACTATTTAGTATTTTGTATGCAAAACATCTATTCTGTTTTTACTTCGCCTCGTTTTTACTGAAAGGACATTTCGACAAGAAGGAAGAATAAAATATCTCGCTTCCTTATTTTATTGATAATTTTATATAATTGAGATTATTTGATATTATAAGTTATATTGAAATAAATTATAAAAAATATATGTATTATTGCAAACAAATATTACTATTGTCATAAAGGAAACGGAGTATATATTGTGAAGTACATTTTGTAAAGCACATATTTTCTGAAGAAAAAGATGGATATTGTCAGCCCTACTCCTCAAGATCTGCAAACAAAACTCTACTTTCTGGTGGAACAACTGCAGCACATGGCCGGAGAATTACCGCCAAAGTATCAGATGCGATTGCCATATGAATTATTGTCCGGCTTGGCCAACTCGTTGTTAAACGACACCATATTTGAAATAGTGAAAGGTCTGATGGAGATACAGCACGTCACCGAGAAACATCTCTTCCAACAGCGACTTCAGCTTTTAAATCAGCAGAAGATTGAGTGCCAAGAAGCGTTATCGGCAACAATGACAGAAGAGGAGCTGACCTCAATGAAAGTAGCACTATACAAGAAGCACAAGGAAGAGTTGAAGCAAATGGACATGAAATTGGTATTGCAATTAGATCAAAAAGTAGCTGATCAGCAGAGTATATTGGAGAAAGCTGGAGTACCTGGATTCTATGTGACGAACAATCCAGTGGAGATTCAGGTGCAAATGAGGCTGTGCGACTTCATAATCAGACTCAGCAAGATGGATATACCAACTTGACATGAATATAAAGTTCTTCTATATAATTTCCATTTATTCAGTTATATTCATCACTTACGGATAACAATTATGTCATTATTTTATTATTGTAGTTATTATTGTTATTTGTTAGTTGTTTAACATTAAATTGTAAAGGTCAAATTTTGAAAACTGCATAGATTTGTATTATAAAATATTTTATTTAAATCAAGATTTCTGTACAAATGCAATTTCACCTACATTATATTGAAACATATCACTTAAAAATTTACATTTGTTAATTAAAATCAATTAAAGTGTAATAGACTGACATATATAAATTTTTTTGAAATAAGAAAATATTTGCAATAGTTATCTCATAGATCATACATATATGAATCCTATATGAATTATTTCAAAGAAAGAAAAATAAACTTTTATCAAGAAAAAAAACACAAATCCCAAGAAAAATAAGACAGATACTTATATTTGCAATTATATGCATTTATACATATATGCATTTTAATGATAATATTAAAAGAATAATGACTATTCTTACAAAATAATGTAACAAAACTTTTTTAAGATATCAACAGAAGGTATTCACTTATTCACTTATATAATTATTCATATTTACTTATATAATTATTTGTACACACAATTACTTCATAAAGTAATTGTATTTTCAGAATTAATCGTTCAATTATGTGTTACAAATAAGAAACTTTGAGAATGTACTAAATATAAATCGAATAATTGCAAATAAAATAAATTTAAAATTTTTACAATACAGAAGATCAATTTAAAAAAGTGTTTTCAATACAAAAGATGAATTATTTTCATTTAGATATCTTTGTTAAATGATATATAAATTGTCTCTTCAATTAAGTATTATATACAAGAAACATAAAATAAGATTTTGTCAGCAATATGCCACATAGTATATACTATATGGTAAACTATTTGTATACAAAATAATTTAGACGATTAATAATTAGAAGTGATGATGGTGGAGTAAAAAATTCATACAAACATATCTATGTCTGATTCGGAATGATCCACCCTGTATATTATTTTATCCAAATGTTGGCTGTGCGGACGAAACATGATCAGTGATTGGTTTAGCTGATCGAAGAGAATCGATCTCGTTCGTTTTTGGGAAACATATACGATAAACATCGTCAAACGTCGAAGCAAAATGCACTTCCAGACCGTCTGTAATATATTTAGGTAGATCGTTGAAATCTTTCTTATTCTCGTCGGGCAAAATTATGCATTTAACATCGACTCGCTTCGCCTGAAAGTAAAAATTTTTTTAAATTTTGTACCTCGAAGCATTACATATACAGAGTGGTTTTGAAGTATTGTAAGAGTTTTAAGAGGTGATTCCTCACTTTAATTCAAACGAAAACTTTATATGATTTATGTTTGAAACAGCTTAATTTCAAAGATATAAGGTGTTTTCTAAAAATTTCGAAACCCATTTGAGTTATTTTCAAAGTTTTTGAAAAAAAGAACGAAATTTTCCCTTCAACTTTAATCCTGTATCTTCAAATAAAAACTAAGTCGTTTCGGGCATGTAATCATATTTTTCCGTCTTGAATTAATATAAGAAATCGTTTCTTAAAATCGTTTAGAATACTTAAGGACCACTCTGTAAAACAAAGTGATTATTTCACGAGTTTATTAAATAATAATTATATTTCATAAAGCTATGATAAATATAATTAAAAAAATAAATAAATAATGACACAAACGCATGCTTTGGTGAAAAATATTTTAACCTTCGGTTGTCACACCTTTTTTTTCAATCAAGTTTATTTTGAGGTCAATCCAATGTCAAACCAATTTTTAAAAGACTGCTGTTTAAAAACTAACAGTTTAATTAGATCACAAAAATTCTTAAATAGAGTTCAAACATTGTAGAATGTATTCTGATTGTATAGAACTTAAAATTGAAATGAATTGAATTGATGGCATCATATTGAAAAAAAATTCTTAAAAGAAAGTAAAAAACCATTATCCAAGATAAAAAGCTGGGGTCATTTTGTCAAGTGTGATAACCGAAGGTTAATGAAACTAGTACATTAAGCTATATAATATTATCTAATAATAACATATATACTGAGGTTTAATTAATAATATTAGTAAGTTGGGATTAATATGAGATTATGTTTATACTTACTGCAATAACTTTCTCTTTGATACCACCAACAGGAAGTACTTTGCCCATAAGACTCAACTCGCCCGTCATTGCTACGTCTTGTCTGATAGCTTGGTTTTTAGCCAAGGATAATAACGCAGTAGCAATTGTCACACCTGCGCTAGGTCCGTCTTTCGGAGTCGCTCCTTCAGGCACGTGTATATGCAAATGGGAATCGTACAGAAACGTATTTGAAGAATCCTCCTGTTTCAGGTAATTCCTCGCCACAGTCATCGCGATATGTATGGACTCCTTCATTACATCGCCCAGATGACCGGTAACTTCGAAGGTACCCTCGGCTTTCTTGCCGCCCGTCGGTTTTCTGATGGTACTCTCGATGAATAACGTGGATCCGCCCATAGCGGTCCACGCCAGTCCCATCACAACTCCGGGCGGTGTTCTTTCGTACATTCTGTCGTGTGTGAATACAGGCTTGCCCACAAACTCCTGTAAGTTGTCCACGGTGACATCGATCTTGTCGACTTCCTTCTTGACAACCTTAAACGCCACTTTTCTGTGCACCTTTTCTATATGTTTCTGCAGACTCCTCACCCCGGATTCTCGACAATAAGATTTGATTAATGCCGTGAGTGCATTGTCTTGTATGCTAATTTGCTCTGTGCTGAGACCAGACTCAGTTCTAGCTTGTGGAACTAAGTATTGTTTCGCGATAGCGAGCTTCTCTTCGGCAACGTAACCGGACATGTCTATCATCTCCATACGATCTCTCAGGGGTTCCGGAATGGTGTCTATTACATTTGCCGTGCAAATGAATAGCACTTTCGATAAATCTACTGGAACATCTAAATAATGGTCCAGAAAGTTTGCATTCTGTTCTGGATCGAGCATTTCGAGAAGAGCAGATGCTGGATCCCCTTGGTGTCCCCTAAAATATAATGTTATATATGATGTAAGTCCAAGAAATGTCATAAAATATTACACATTTTTTAATATTTCAGAGATACATTAGAAATATCTTTAAATGTTTTGTCATTTTAAGATATTATACATCTATACTCTTTTTTTTTTATACTCTGATATATATTTTTTAAAACAAATTATAAATCCCGCTCGTTATTGTAATACAATAATTAACAGTAATCAACAACTAAAGACGAGGAAATTAACGGTGTTAAATAATTTATTATTCAGTTTTCTAATATAAAACGTAAACGAAACTAGTTTCGATCACTTGGACTTTCTCAATCATATAAATAATTTATACGATTGAGAATTACATATTTATAATATATTTTTTATATATATTTACAAAGATTACATACTTGCCGATCTTATCGACTTCGTCTATTAGAATCAATGGATTCTCAGTTTTGGTCTTTTTCAAACACTGAATGACTTTGCCTGGCATGGCTCCCACATACGTTCTCCTATGTCCTTTAATCTCTGCCACGTCTGTCATTCCACCGACACTAAACCTAAAATATTCTCTGTTCAAAGCGCGAGAAATCGATTTAGCTATTGAAGTCTTGCCGACCCCAGGAGGCCCGTAGAAACATAATATTTTTCCTTGCGTACTGCCTTTAAGTTGACTAACAGCAATAAATTCTGTAATTAAAAGCATAATGTACAATGAAAAACGTTATTATTACTTAAATAATAGTAAGTTAAATAATAGTATATAATTTGTTTTTTTTTTTTGGCATTTGTCTCTACCAAGTATTCTTTTCTTTATATCATCCATTCCATAATGATCCTCATCCAAAATTTTAACGGCATCTTGAAGATTTAAATTCTCCATACTTGTCACACCCCATGGCATAGACGTGAGCCAATCGAGATAATTTCTTGTAACACTACAAAATATAAAATTCATGTAACATTTATACAAATCACCAATACATACTTATTATAATATTATTTGATATTATAATATTATACACACTTGAATTCGCTACTATGACTTTCCAAAAAGGAAAGTTTATTTAATTCCTCTTCCAACACGTCCATAACCGGTTTAGGAACAGTCTTTTGTTTTATTCTTTCCCTGTACTTTTCTTCTATCGCGTCCTTGTCATCCTTCTCCAGCCCTAATTCTTTCTTAATAACTTTTAATTGTTCATGAAGAATATATTTTCTATGTTGTTGTTTTACTTTCTCCTCGACCTCTCTACCAATTTTCTGCTGCAGCTTACTTAATTCATATTCCTTTTTCAAAAGCGCAAGCGATAACCTCAACCTTTTTAGAATCTACAAATAAAATATTATTTTAATATTTCCCTAAGATACGTATGGAAATTCTATACACATGATGTAACAGTTAAACGACGAATGTACTTACATCCATTTCCTCTAAAACTTGTTGCAATTCCTGTGCATCTGCTCCAGTTAAGGCAGCACCCAAGTCGCTAAGGTAAACAGGATTATCCACAACTCTTTGTCCTTGATGTAGCATTTGTTGCAAAGATTCACGATATAAAGGATTCATGCTGATTATATCTCGGATTGTTTTGATGAGTTCTTGCGTCAAAGCCTGTTTAGGAAATATTAGGAATGTCTAGCGTTGTTATAATTTCTGATATTATAATAGTACCTACTATATAATAGAATAAATTCAAAATTGATTGTTTTAGAATAATGCATAGAAGAAATAAGAAAAAGAAAATAAAGATAAATAAAATGATCATTCTTTTGAGTTATATTGATTTTTGTCTTCATTAATCAAAGATTGTTCTATTTCATTTAGCACATCCTTATATCTGTACATAGGATATCTTAAATTAAAATATCCTATTGCACAATTAATAAATAATAATGATCGGAAATATTCTATTTTTATTCATGAAACATATGATAGATAAAAGAAAAAGAAATATTAAATAATAAAATTTGCTACATGTAATATTATATATTCCTTTATAAATATATTATAAAAATTAACTCAATTTATTTTTTATTAATACTATTTCGGTTTGTAAAATTTCAATATTTAATATTTATTAAATTGCTTATTTAATTTGTTAAAAATTAAAAAATAAATAAAAAGATTTTTAATATTATCATTTAAGATCAAGGATATTACGAAGCCTTTCAATATCATTTTATATATTACCTTAATCTCTTCAGTTTGCTTAAACTTTTCGTGTGTGACATTTACAACTTCCACCATTAGTACAGGTTGACTATCAGATTGAGGGATCGACGAATCTATCGACGGTTTCTCCACATTTTTCTCGGACGAATCTATCGGCGGTTTTATTTCCGTAAATTTCGTTTCATTAATCTTTTCTGTTTTTTCTGTTCGTTCTGTAACTCTATTCTCTGCCTTTTTTCGCAATGATCTCCGGTTTATCTTGCCACTGGTCATTGTGTCGTCTACAGGGACGGTAATTGTGGTATTTAATAGTGGAAACGTCAGTTTCATCTCTGTGCAAAGTATGTATGGCAATATTTAACAGAATAACCGAAGAACAGAGCCACGCCAGATAAAACAAGAAAATTTTTGTCAATTAATTTAAAATATGAAACAAATTTCTGAAGTATGATTTTATAGAAATAAAAACGCAATAATTAAACACATCTTTTACCGTGTTCTACTTTCGGAGTGGCATCCTCAAAAATTTGATTAACAACCTTAATTCTTCTGTGTGCCATAATTACCAATCTTAAGCGATTTCCCAGGTCCTGCACCTCATGTACTTGGGCAAAAGTTCCAATCGGATAAATATCATCCAAACTTTGAACGACATCAGCTTCATTCCTATATAAACAAATGTCGTAAATTAAAACTTATATCATTTGCATTATATACACATATAATTTATATAATTATTAATTTTGGTATTATTTATATTAATACAAATTTATGCTAGAAAAAGATTTAAAAGAAAAATTGTATATTAGCTCGTATTTTAGAAATAAAACTTTTCAACTTTATTGAGTAATTTTTAATCGCAAATATAAAATTATATGAACTTTATATTTGCAAAGAAGACTCAGTAAAATCGAAAACGCCCCGCTTTAATATTATTGAATAAAATAATACGATTATATTTCAACATTTTTGTTTGCTCATTTTATTGGCCTTTATTTCTTATAGTTTCTATTTCATGGATTTAAAAGGTTACTTACTCTTCAGATTTCTTCAAGAAGACTCCCACATAAGGCTGATTTAATTTTATCTTTCTACGTATTAAATCTATCAGAACTGGATTGCTAATCTCGATTAGCTTAATAAACCTGGGAAACACTGGATTTCTATTGATAGCAATGACTGGTACATGAGGCCATACATCAGGCACCACTACAGTTGCAGGCAGAGAGGCAGGATAATCTCCAGATTGTTCTCCATTACCATCGCTAAATAATACGTATATAAAACAAAAAACTGTACTTTCTCAGAAGTCAGATACAATATAGTTTGTCAGAACTATTTATGATATAAAACTTATAATGCAGATAAAATAGAAATATTATATATATGTATATATAATATATATAATATGAAACAATAAAAACCTAACAAGATTCCCCAAATTAAAAATACAATAAGTAAGGCAGATGGAAATTTTTTTTTTATTTTTCTTTATTCCCATCTGCCTTACTTACTTATTGTATATACAATATGTACAAAACCATAGAAAAACAAGTAATTTTTACTGAATTATGAGGCAAATAGGTGAGTGAGAGAATTTTATTAAATTCACAGATTACAGGAAAAGGAAAAAAGAAATATTCAAATTTGAAAAAGTCAGGTGGGAATAAAAGAGAAGCTTAATTAAATGAATCACACACACACACGCACACGCACACGCACACACACACACACACACACACAACAAACTAATCAAACTAATTAAAATAAATAAATTTAATTTACCTCGGAGGATCCCGATCGGAATATCTTTTCGCCGTGAAAAATCTCACCGACGTTATTGCGGGATGAAACCGGATGGTTCTCAGTAATCCTGATTTATAACCCGGGTATCCTGCTCGCGTCAATCGCGATCTGGCGCAGATCGGCGACGGCACATGGTAATCCGCGGCTGACCGGTCTCCGCGGAACGAGCGCGTGATTGTCCCGCGCTGTCGCAGGATTAGCAGCAGCTTAGCATTCACTGTTGTCACGAGTCGCATGATCCTCCGAAACCGTCGCGAATGCTCACGAACTTCTATCCCGTTCTACTTCTGTAAGAATCGCTGATCAAAGAAGAAAAAAAAAAGAGGAAAACCTAAGAGCGAGAGGTTATGATATAAGACAGCGCAAATTCATATAAGTTAAGTTAACCTAATCTAACTTAACTCCGTTTCCAATTCCGACTTATGATTTTATCGACAATGTTACAAAAAAATAGATGTGGTATGTATGCAGTTCCTCTATCGACAAATGGATGTACGTGCGGCGCTAGCGTTCCTCAGTCCCACGAAAAAGGCCGGGATGTTCTCAGCCACTCTCAAGTCGGATAACAGTCATAACAGATTCCTCTCTGGCGTAAGCAAATGAGATAAATACACGATATATGATGTGATTTTTTACTTTTAAGTATATCGAGTTAAAAAGGGACAAAGACGTAAAAGCACAGATTTCTATGGAAATCTGTGCGTGAATCGTCACAAAGCCCGAAAAGTGCAATTATATAGGAAGAAGGTCAGGGATTTCCTAAAAACAGGAAATATATAAAATATTAAACGTGATTAATATGTTGATTTAACACAACACAATCGATACAATATACATATTATTTAAAATAAGAAGATCAAGATTTTGATTATCAAGGATTGAGAGTGTGATCCTCTTAACGCTACAAATGTTTCACACGTTATACGAAATATACGATCAAGCATTTGATTTACAAATCAGAGGAAAGAATTATTTTTACTAATTGCGATCATTGAAAAAAATGCTTCGATCAAGCATATAAGCATCAAGTAAACCGCGCGCGGTAGTCTACTGAATCATTTAATATTTTTAGTCTTTGAAAAGTATATATGTATATTATACGTTGCATAAATATAAATCGCGTTCCCATTACGTACGTTAATTATGTTAATTTTATCATGTTGATTTTTCATGTTAATTTTCATGTTAATTTTGTCACTTTCTATGTCGGAATTTAAGGAACTGCAAAACTTTCTAGCAATTCTAAAACAATTTTTGTAGCAATTATATGTATATTTGAATATATTTAAATATAATTTATTAATTAGAATATATTTAAATACTAAAACCAGAGAGAAGCACACTTCTCTCTGCTAAAACACTAATTAATTTGACAATATTATTATTGCAGCATATAAAACTGATTTTTTTCAAACTTTATATATTGTAATAAAAAAAATATTTTCTATCATACTTTTTGAATTCTGAAGTTTATCATGCATTGTATATCTTATTAATAATTTAAATTATTAATATAAATAAAGATTAAAATTATTAAATATGGAAAGAATATATTTTAATATAATTCTTTACAGATACAATTTGAACGTTAAATCATGGAAAGATGTGATATACAAATAAGTAAAAAAGCTTCAATGTCACAACCTCTAAGTAATAATAATTATATAAACGACAAACTATCTGAACCTATTGTAACAAAAGCAAACAATAACGAGCAAAGTAATAAAAATAATATTGATTACAAAAATATTTTACTCACTATGAGAGGTAAAATAAATTATTATCGCAGCCATTAAAATCTTATATATGCATGTAAAAAAATTTTATCTCATACATGTTTATATATTATCAAGATTTTATATAATGTGAATTTTATTTCTGTACAGGAGAAATAAGTTCAGGTTCCATACATAGAAACAGTTTAACGCAAAAACAGGCTAATATTATTTTTGTAGAGGAGACGGAAGACGATGATGAACAATTCATTTTAAATATGAAAACGATCATTGATAAAAACTGCAAAATGTAACGCCAATTATCAATTAATTTGTATATTATATTAGATAATTACAATACTGTATTTTTCTATTACCTATAAGTCATTTTGTTATATGAACAGGCAAAATAAGGAAAACTCTAACATAAAAGATTTACAAAGCAAATTATATTTATCAAGAAAAAAGAAGTGCCCATTTAGCGACATAGATCAAAATTTGATGAAACGATTTAAAAAATCTGTAGACGATAGCAAAGCTTCCTGCATAACACAAAAATTGCAGCAGCCTGAGCACGTTGTTGACATTGTTTCCACTAATAGTCACAGTTGCTCGACAGACTATACTCCGCAGATTGCCTATACTCCAGTCATTAATAATGATATGAATGACGATATGAATTGCAGGTATATTCCAATTTAGATATAATTTCAAACGTATTACGCGCAACCAATCGATCGGTTCAGTTCATATATCATTTTCAGACACAACAAGAGTGAACTGCTTTTCCATGTAACTTCGAAAATGCAGAAAAATGACCAATGGATTCACGAAAGAACAGTAGAGAATATAAAAACTGTTACTGAAATAGAAATAGAAAAGCAGTTTATTTATAAGGAGATGTTGTGCCTTACACCTCCCCAGAAAGATGATTCATAAAATAACTTACAATTTATATAAATAATATAAAATAATTTTCTAATTTTTACCATATTATTTGTCAGCAATTTATTGTATAATTATAGCTTTAAAATTATGTAAAAACTATATTTATTATAAAAAACATTTATTAAATACATAATAATTGCTACATTATATAAATATATAATAAACTATTATTAAACTAATAAACTTATATATTTCTTTAAATGAGCCTTGGAATTTTGATTTTATTTTGTATGTATGTGTGTGCGTGCGCGCGTGTGTAATCAATCTTCAAAAAGAATTGTAAAAATCATTTAAATCTAAGGTTGGATATTAGTAACTATAGTTAAAAAGTTATAAAGTTAAAAGTTAAATAATAAAGTTAGAGAGTTAATAACTTTTTTAACTTAACTTAATTAATTTTAAACAAGTTAACTGCAGTTAACTTCAATTTAGTTATTTTAGTTATTTAGTTATTTTTAAATATAAACTTTAACTTATAATTAACTTTTTTTTAAGTTAAAAATTTATCTATTCAAAAGAACAAAAATTTCATATAAAGACAATATTTTATTTTATATAAATTTAATATTTACAAATAAAATATTAAATTTATATGATCATTTATTAAATTGTTTCTTATTTAGAGTAATATCTTATTTTAAAAAATTACGAAATTCTAATTTAATATATAATTAATATAAATAATATTTTTCAAATTAAATAGCTTTTAATTTAACTTTAGTTAATTTACTCTTAACGCAACTTTTAATTGAGTTAGTTTTAAGATAATGCAACTTTTAACTTAACTAAATTAATTTTATGTCATTAATTTGAACTTAATTTAGTTTAAAAAAAATAATAACTTATAACTTAACCCTGTTTAAATGTAACATTAAATATACGTCTTGTTACATAATACTGATAAATATTATGTAACATATTGGCAACATATGGAATATATAACTTAATTTTAATACATGTTAATAAGTTGTGTTTGCTACACGGAATAATCTAAATTTAAATATTGCCGCGAAACACTGATGAAGTTCTCGCCAGATGACGCGGAAATTATCATAACCTCCAAGAAGCTTTTGAAAACATAAAGAGATAAAAATATAAATACGAATATTTAAAATGATTATTTCTATGCAGATTTAAGATATTTGCCTAGTTTGCACAATATTATTAAGCTGATCTCACAGCGAGTGTTAACAATTACAATTGACGCTTAGAGCAATCGAGAACGATGAGTGAATTTAAATTACATCATTTGATAGTACAATTAATCGAATTATTAGGGTAAGTAGCAAAAGCTATATTTTGTAATTTGCATAATTGTAACTCGTAAAATTATATACGTTTAAAGAAAAATTTGAGTACGCATACTCTTACATAAAATATTATTTCTTGCAACAAATACGTGTAAATATTATCTCCTTAGTTCGGAATCTGCTCCGGAGAGACACTTGGAGAGGCTACAGAAAGAGAACTTGACAGCAAACGCGTTAAACGCGATTGCTCCTCACAGTTGTATCCAGCATCTCGCGAAGATTTCGTCCCAGCCAGAATTATTTGTACAGAAATACGAGGAACTGAAGTCAAGAAAGTTAGTGAGTCAATAATAATGCAGATACATTAAGATTTACTTGCAGAAGAACAACAAAAGATATATTTTTTCAGAGTAGATTTGTTAGGTCCATTTGTGCAGACTTTGGAATTGATATCCCAAGATGACGAACTAAAGAGATACTTGTCAAGATCCGTACCACGAGCAACGACTAGTTCTCTGAGGGATCCTACCATTACACAGGAAGATTTACCAAAAGTAATAATATACAAGTACATAACATTTTTAATTTACTTAATATATATTTAAATTTATCTCAGTTGTGTTATTTTTAATATTTTAAAATTAATTGCTTTGTTTTTTTTTTACATAATATACACTGGCATATGTAATAAATGTAATTTTTTAATAGATTTGCAAAACTGTAATTAAAGCTGCTGTGGAAGGAGGAAAGAAATTAAACCAGCAAGTTTGTTCAATCAGTAAGAAAAGTGATGGTATCTTAGTGAAGCATAATTGGGTAATGGAACGTCCACGCATAACATGGGATTTTCACAGTGACACCACTGTTGCACTTTATCAAAGTTTGTAAATAATTTTTTTTTGCGAAACGCAAAATTGGAAAACAATGAAATGTGGCAAGTCTGAAATAATTAAATGTTTGTAGAAGTTGTACCAATTATATCTCAGGAGTCCATACTTCTTTGGGATATTTTATATTGCCTGAAAGGAATAGATGGATCATATATTGTTTCGGAACCATTAACGAGTCCTTATGGCGTTAAGACTTTCAATATATTACCAGATGTTGGTAAGGATGTTTAAAATTTTTTAATTTAAATAGTAACAGTTATTACAAAGGTAAAGTTAAATGTCTTGAATTTTGTCCTCAGGTGTATCATTTAAGCAATTGGCGCAACAGATATTACCTTTAGCCTCATATTACTCCATGACGGTGAGATTTGTTGAAGAAAAGGTTTCGCCGGATGATGGACAAGTCAATCATGCTCTGAGAGGAGCTATACGATCTCTGCTGAAAGATTATTTGGTATAATAAATTACAATCTACAATGCATCTCAATAGACTTAGTATATTTAAATTTAAATTGAAAGGAATTAGGCTACCAAGAATAAATTAGAAATGACAAAGTAATACCAATACGAGCCAGCATGGATTAATATATATTTATGTTTCTCTAATTTAATTTATATTTTAGATATTGATTTTGTATGCTATGTGTTTCAGCTCTTCGTCGTGCAACTTGAGACAGAACACATCCATGGTAAACTAAGTTTGCAGAAGTTATGGTTTTACATCCAGCCTACTATGCTTACAATGTCCATACTTTCTCAAATTACATCCACAATATGTAAGGTTAGTCTAAAGTGTTAGTTAATACTAACCAATAATTAAATAATTTTAAATTATATCTATTCTTAAATATACATAGAGAATATAGATTATTTTCTATTTTCTATAACTAAAACGTTAGAAGTACTTATAAGGTAAAGTATTTAATTCTAGGCGGATGCTAGAGGGGGCAAAGTATTGAGCCTTTTGCATGAGCAGACGTTGAATAATGTCAGTGGTGAAGCAAAGTCTAAAGAACTGTGTTTATATCTGATGCAAGCGGCTAGCATGCCATATATGCAAATTTTAGAAAAATGGGTTTACAAAGGAGTGATATGCGATCCATATCAGGAAGTTAGTATTAAGTCCATTTCTGTATAGCAGTTACGTTATAAATGTACGTTATAAATGACACATTCATACTTGTTTATTTATCAGTTCTTTGTAGAAGATAACGAATTGATTCAAAGAGAAGAACTTCCCGTGGATTATTCTGCAGATTATTGGGAAAAGAGGTACACTATGCGATTAGAAAGAATACCTGTATTCTTGAATGAACATGCACAAACTATACTTAGAACAGGAAAATATTTTAATGTGATTAGACAATGTGGTATGTATTAAAATAATACAATTATGTATTCATATTTATTATATTATTAAAAGATAAACTGAAACGTCACTTTATATGCATTAATCATATTTTTGAACAATTAATTTGCAATCATTTTATAAGTTAAATAAATTCATATTTAGGTAAAACAGTGCAGTGGGGGAAACAAGAACCATTAAGCTATCAGTATCAAGGACAGAATTATATTGCTGCCATTGATAGAGCCTATTCAGAGGCTGCTAGAAAATTATTAGAGGTGCTTATGAAAGAAAATGATCTGATGGGCAGACTACGTAGTGTAAAGAGTTACTTTCTTCTTGCTCAAGGAGATTTTGTGGTAAGCTGAGTTATACGTTGTTAAACACCAGCATATTGTATTATTTTTGTTAAAATTTTTTAGATATTTATGTCACGCCTTTCCACTTTGGATGAAAAGATTTACACAAAAATTATTTTAAACAGATATATATAGATAATATTATAATTTTCTTCGGAATTATAATATAAATTTTACAAAAATATAACATTGCTGTTTTAAAGTAGGGGAGTATAGCGTAATTTGGTCAACTTTTTTTTGAATGACTCTAAAACTCGTATTTTTTCGAATTTCGTAAACCAAATATACCGTTGGAAAGGTAAAGACCTAGCGCAACTTTTTCTCGAATATACCTATCTTCTATCTCATTACAAAAAAAATATGATCATTTTCCCGAAACACAAAAAATTGAGATTTTTTTTATAGCGTAATTTGGTCAACCGTATAAATCTTAAGAATTCTTAAAAAATAAATTATAAAATAAAGTCAAAACAGCATATTTTCAAATTTTAATTATTTTTTTATTAATTTTATTGAAAAAGGCACAAAAAGCACACAAACATTGAAATTAATCTTCCATTTACTGAGACCGTAATAAAGATCTCCACACTTTTTAAAGTATCCAACAAGTGCTATCTCTTGATCTTCTATGAAAATCTATATGAACAATGAAAACCATAAAAATGAGAATCAAAAAAGAAATTTATTGAAATTAATTGATCGAGAACATACCGTTGGTGCAAAGTGATTGAATTTTTATTAAAAGATCGTCGTCGCTGATTGTTGAAAAATCGTCGATCTGCTTATCAAGTTGCAAAACATACCGATTCAAACTTGTTCTATGAATACCGTACAAAGCAACGTTTCGTATCGATTTCTTTCCCAATTTTATTTCTTTAATTAATGTAGTGAGATCTTTTGCTGGACGATCAGTTTGTTGTTTATGAAATTCCATTCTAATATTTAAAAAATGTAGAAAAATTATTTAAAAATCCCCCAAAAATACCAAAAATAAGTCTATATATTTATATGTGACGTTCAGTGCTTCATCTGTGAACATGTGTGAAAAAATCCATTGAACAAATTACGCAATATGCAGTTGACCAAATTACGCTAACCAAGCTTGTTGAAAAAAATGGCGTAAAAATTTTCCACGCACTTCACACCGAAACGTGATTAATCACATGAAAGAGAATAAAAAAATCATATCATAACATACATTACCTGGATCAAATCACGAAAAAATCACCACTTCACAAAATAAAATGTATGATGTCAATTTGAATTATTTTTCACAATTTTTTCGCTTTATTCTGCCGAGCAAAAATTAACACGTCTATTCAGCTCTATATCTCATCAAAAGTGAGCTTATACAATGACAATTTAATGACATAAACAACTGTATAGTGCGACGGCAGCGCTCAAAAAATGTTGACCAAATTATACTATGACCAAATTACGCTACTTTACCTTATAAGTTTTGAACATTAAAATTTATATTTTTACAATTATTGCAACTATATTACTATTTTAGGATAGTTCTAATCTAGATATTTTATTCTTAGAAAAATACATTTCTCTCTTTCATTTAAATTTAATCTTTTCGTTTCTTTCTGTAGATATTTCCGTAAATATTTTTTAAGTATTTTATTAATCCAATTTTCTCTAATCTATTTTTTGTATTTAAATTCCTTTCTCATCTCTATTTTCATTGTTTGCCTTTTTCTAAAAATATGTCGCAATCCAATCCAACCATTTTATGATTATATAATATTAATGATCATTTTAAGTATATATTAATTCTTATATTTTTTCATCAAATCTGTTATTATATCTCCGCACTAAATCTTTTTTGCTTATTCTTTATACTTGGTTTATAGTTCTTATGACTATTTCTTTTATATACTCATACGGTACCTCATTGTTTTTTTTGTAAACAAAAAATTATGTCTTACATATTCAAAGTGCTCTCTCTCTCTGTTCTTCCTTTTCATATCTTCATTCTGTTTTAAATCTACTGTTTACATTTTCTTTTTTTTTTTTTTTTTTTTGAGAATATAATAATTTTCGACTTTTCCATGCTTAAAATTAAATTAATTTTCTTCAAAACCTAGAAAAGCTTCTAAATATCTTCCAAATTGTTACTATTCTTTATATAACAAAATATTTATTTAATTTTACGTTAGGTCCAATTTATGAATCTATGCGAGGCCGAGTTGAATAAAAGTATATACGATATCGTTCTGCATCGTTTAGCATCTCTTCTCGAAGTTGCCTTGCGAATGTCTACTGCAGATTCAGATCCCTATAAAGATGATCTGAAGCCGGAATTACTTCCATACGATTTACAATATCAAATGTTTAGAATACTATCTATCCAAACGAGAGACGAGAAAGGTATATTTCATTAAAAGTATCATACATATCCAATTATATTCTAATCAAAATAAGTTAATAACGAGAACTTTTCTCTCTTGTAGAATATTGTTTTCAAGCAGGTAAAGTTTTGTCAGGTTTGGAAGCTTTCGTCTTCAATTACGATGTTAAATGGCCAGTTTCTCTAATCATTAATAGGGAAGGCCATAGCTTGTTATCAAATGCTTTTTAGGCATCTGTTTTATTGCAAATATGTTGAAAGACTCTTATGCAGGTAAATTATTTTGTTTTAACAGATTTTTTTGAACTTTATATCCACAGAAATATTTTAAAATTTGATGGATTATAGAGTATGGATCAGCAATAAAATAGCGAAAACTTTCACGCACGAAGTGGCTATGACTTACAGACAAGCATTTTCATTACGGCAGAGAATGCTTGATTGTATACAGCATTTGGAATACTATATGATGGTAGAAGTTGTGGAACCAAATTGGTTAAAATTTATAAATAAAATGAGCAAGGTGATGATTTATTTCTTATTTTTATTTTAAAACTTTAATTATAAAACTTAAAACAATATTAATTTCAATTTTCCTAAGATTGAACGGCCAAAGACGAGCAATTTAACAGGGTGTAAAAATTACTTTATTAATTTTCTAACATAATTAAAAAATGTAATGAAAAAACGTTTTTTTTATTGCGTTTTATGCTAGAAAATTAATTAATAAATTTTTACATCCTGTTAAATTGCTCGTCTTTGGCCATTCAATCTTATTAATTATTGTATTTACAATAACGAGCGAAATCTACAAAAAATTTTAATAATTCTATTTAAAAAAAATGTATACATTTTATATTTGACTTATTTTATATTATTTATTTGACAAATTAATACTAGGTCAGTAATGTCGATGATGTATTAAGCGTGCATCAAGATTTGCAAGATAGTTATCTGAAGGAATGTATGTTAACGGATCCTGATCTTCTTAGCTGTATCACTGGTATATGCGCTATATGCGTAGAATTTTGCAATTTTATGCAGGTAAACCTTACATATGCATATATACATATATACATATATACATATATTTTTTCTAATAATCATTCGCTGCATGTATACAATTACATATAATGATCTCTTCCTCTAAGTTGCGATTATTGTTTCAATTGGATTCATTACGTTGCTTTTACTTATTATTACATAATATATTTCTGAATCTATTAATAACAGGGTTGGGTAAGTTAATATTTTTTTTTAACTAAGTAAAGTTAAAGTTAACAGTCTAAAAATTTAACTTAGTTAAGATACAAGTTAGTCCATAATAAAATTAATTGAGTTAAAAGTAAATTAATAAAAAAAAATAATTGAAAAGTTAAAGTTAAATT